TAAATAAATCAAAACATTTAATTTTACTCACCTTGCCTTCAAGACCAATTCCCACATTTGATGCTTGTATCATACTCACATCATTACCACCATCACCTAATGGAGAAAATAAACAGCGCCCTCTAGATGTGAGAAATATTTATGCCAATGCTGCACCAGCATATTAATCTTTCCAAAAAATTGCGCCCTCTAGTGATTAATCTGTGATGTACGAATGGAATGCTTTTCATAGTTTCACTAATATAATGTGGTCATCCAACAGTGATAGAAAGCTTTGAGAAATATCCTGTGTTTCAACTACAAATACACAACGGACATAATGATTGCTGTTATCTATATCACTTCTACTCATCTATGGAATTTTTCCATGACAGATACATGTACACTTTGTCACAGGAATGTATGATTTATTTGAATGGTGTATTAGCACACCAATCAATAAAAGAAACAACAATAACTTCAATTATCTGTAATTAATATGCAAGGCACAACAAATATTTTGTAAATGTCATGATGCTTGGATCTGGGTGATGGTGCAGTGGTTAGTGTGTTCGCTTCGCACCAGGAAAGTTTCGGGATAGATTCCTCGAGCTGACTGTTCACTCAGCAGTTTAAATCTGAGGACGTTCAAACACAGAGTATTAGGTGTGGGAGTATTAGGTGTGAGAGTATTAGGTGTGGGAGTATTAGGTGGAAGATTGGTTATATACACATGCACTTGCAATTAGCATCTAAGACAAAAAAGTCAAAAGAGACAAACAATGATTTCAAAGTCCAGAAATTTTGCTTGACACAAAAAAAAATATTATGACACTGCATCCCATAGTGGTTCACATTAGAAGAACGATACATCACAAATCCGGAGTGACAATGACTAGACATGTTAATGAATACATTCTACTCATTATATGATTTACATTTCATACAAGCGAGGGTCATAACTGAACTTGTACAAGTTTGTACTATAACAAGAACAAGTTATTGTCAATGACACGTCCCCGTTCCGTTCATATTTGAGTGACATATACATTCAAAGCAGATCATGCCCGAAATGCACCTGCATATGTACAACACATTGTACTAAATCCATCTATGCATGACTGAGATCCGGTTCCGGAATTGTAAAAATACGTGATTTTGATGCATTTTCGGCCTTAAAATGGCCATCATTCAGCTATTGTTAAGCGGATCATGAAACAAATGCACATATGTATTTGTGACATGATGTACCATGTGTGTGTGAAGTTTGAACTTGATCAATCCAGACATGTCTCGGATACGGATCCAGAACTGAATTCTTTAAAACAAAATGGCCGCCATTTTGAACTTGATTCGAAAAAAAAAATGACGTGCATCAAGGTCCTATTATGTTTAATGTATGTAAGAAATTTGAACAAAATCCGTCCATGCATAACTGAGATCCGGGTTCGGAATGGTGAAAATATGCAATTATGATGCATTTTCGGCCTTAAAATGGCCGCTATTCGGCTATCGTTAATCGGATCATGAAAAAAATGCATGTGCATATGTCCCATATAATGTGTGATGTATGAGTGAAGTTTTAACTTAATTGGTGCATGCATGTTCGAGATACAGGTGATCACAGACGCACACAGGGCAAAACATAAGTCCCCGTTTTCGGACTACGTCCGAACGGGGACTAAAAATAATGCAGTTGTATGTGTACATGCTCTGTTTAGATGACAGTATTCTTTAAGTCACGTTTTACATACCTACTGCACATGTTCGTTTCTTTGTGTGTCTTTTAATAAGTTCTACAATATCAGCTTTCTGTGTCGGTGAGCATCTGCAGCAGACTACGGCCGGAGCCTGACAGGCTAGCTCCATGAACTCATGCTCATAAAATTGTAAGCACATCTAGAGGAGATAAATAACAAACAAACACACATAAGTTTTGGGACTGCATCCGAACGGGAACTAAAAACACAAAGGTGATAGTTCTAGTAAAAGATTTCAAATGGTTAAGAAAGACATTCTCCTTACATCCATGTCATTGCCTTTTATCACTAAAGCACTGTCACTTTTTCTACGGAAAGAGTTTAATTCCAGATGGGCATCTGATCTGTTGAGTATTGTTCTAAATATATAGATATCTTGAGTCCTTGCAACGAGTCGGGAACTCTTTGCAATACACGTTGCTGTCTCCAATTTGTCACCGGTTAACATCCAAGTCTAAAAAACAGAGCATACATAATAATAAATCTAACATTTAAAAATTCTTAACAATTTCATATCAATAATATTATATTGGTTCTTCAACCCAGAATACTGAGCAAAATGTTGAGATATGAAATATATCTTCACCATAGAAACCAGTATAAATTAAAGATTAACACATATTTCTGAATCTTTCTGTAATAATTGTTGACTAGAAAGAATTAAAAATCAAAGAAAGCTTATAAAGAACTCCCATGTGCTGAGAGTATTGGAGACACATTAAATATAATTCAAAATTATTTGAGATTTGATGGAAAAGCTGAAAACTAATTATGTAAAATCAGAAATTTGAGTGTAAAACTAATGAGGTCTGTGCAATGTAACAGAAAATCTATGTACCAAGTTATATTGAAATGTGATTAGAACCAACAAATTATGAAATATTATGCTAATTAGGGAATTAATATGAACAGATTTTTACCCCAAACTAATTAGGTTTGTACATTGTCCTACAGCATCCATGTACAAAAATTCATTGAAATGGAATAATTAGTACTTTAGATATCAGTGTGAAAGCTTAAAATTGGTTAATTATGGAAATTAGGTAATTAATACGTACAGATTTTAATCCACAATTATCCAGGTCTGTCTATTGTCCTACAGCATCCATGTACAAAAATTCATTAAATTGTGATAATTACTTGAGATATCAGTATGAAAATGCAAATTAGGTGATTAATATGCATAAATATTTACCGAAAAGTAATTGGGTCTCTGCATAGTTCTAGATTCATTGAAATGTGATGATTGGTACTTTAAATATCAGTAGAAAAGCTGAAAATTAATTATGCAAATTAGGTAATTAATATGCACAATTATTTACCCTAAAACTAATCAGGTCTCTGCATAGTCCTTGAGTATCTAAGTACAAAGTTATATTGAAATGTAATTCTCACTACGTATATCAAAAGCTAAAAAATTATTAATTATGCAAATTAGAATTTTTATATGTACTGATATTACCATAAAAACTATCAGGTCTGTGCAGTGTCATATGACATCTATGTACCAAGTTTCATTGAAATGTGATGATTAGTACTTGAGGTATCAGTGGAAAAACCGAAAATTGACTAATCATTATGCAAATTAGGTAATTAGTATGCACAGATTTTTACCAAAACCAAATCAAATCTGCGCATTGGCCCAGAGCATCTATGCACCAAGTTCCATCAAAAACTGATGTATGGTTCTTGAGATATCAGTGGAACAGACGGACACACACACACACACACTCATATACAGACAAAAATGTCAAAAATGACAAAAATAATCAATTTGATCTGAATCTACTCAATTGTGGTGGTCGTAGCGCCACTTCCATGTTCGATATGGGACTCATAACAATGTACACATTACGTGTAGAATACACTGTTTACATGAAATTGGAATGCTGTCCTTTAAGTAGAGAAAGTATTGGGAGTACCTTGATACCAGCATTTCTAAGCAGTTCCAGAGTTGGCCTCACATCCACCTGTAACTTGTCTTCAACACCAGTTACACATAACAACTCCAAATCTTGTTCTAAACTATCAGCAATGGCAGCAACTTTAGCAGCTCTGTCTTGAATGCTTAACTTGGCTTGATTGTATCTCATCTGTACAAAAAACCATGTACATTACTTTATCAGTAACTATCTAACACAGCTTTATCAAATACTACCAATAAAAAACTGTTCACTAATCTTATCCAGTACAAGAAAATACAATGATACAGTATCACTAATCTATTTATATCTACTGTTATATTTATAAACTTACCTCAAAATCATGATACTGGTCATCTGAAAGTGGTTTCTTAGCAACCACCAATGTTCTCAATCCCTCTCTTGCCATATTCCCAACCTGAAAAGATAAAAGAAATAATATGTTGAAGAAAACCCATTGGCTGACAACAACCATAAGATTTGGCTATGAATGCTGATAGGTTAATTAGTGGCATGAGACCTATAGTGAACTCATAATGTCATTCCCAATGATGACAATGTGATGTTAGGTTATATAAAAAATGTTTGACAAATAATAATCAAACTAACCTCTTCATCTAACCAATCATTGTACTGTACAATGTTAGCCATCACAACATCAGCACCTTTCAGATAAAATGTAATCTCCCCTGTTGACTCGTCCTACAAAACAACATTATTATTATTGAAGGAATAAAAACAGTTGTGTCCAAGATTTAAATGCCATATACCATACAATGAAATGTACTCTACAAAATACTCGATGAAAAGACATTTTAGTTGTTTTATATGGAGTTTATTATCACTGATTTTTGATGAGTTGAATAGTTGAAGGGTATTTTCACTGAATCATTCTTTCAATTAAATTTGAATTCCAAGTGGAAATAAAACTTCTTCATAGTAACTATTTTCCCTACAAAGGGATCACACTGATTTAGTTTTGAATTATATATACAGGCAGTTCCATTGTCATACCATCAGTTGTGTAGATGGACCACTAATGCTCTGTTCTGGATCACCATCATATAAACATGGTTATTCACAGCACCACGTTAAAAAACTAATTTTAAACCATCATGGTATATACAAACACTTTTCACACCACAAGAGGGATACATTACGACTCAAGAGGGCAGTGTTCACTCACCTATATAAACATGGTTATTCACAGCACCACGTTTAAAAACTAATTTCAAACCATCATGGTATATACAAACACTTTTCACACCACGAGAGGTGTGTACATTAGGACTCAAGAGGGCAGTGGTCACTCACCTTTACTATAATTCCCATTCGTTTTCTTTCTGATGTAAATGGAAATATTTGCAGAATGGTATATAAGAGTATCGATCCCAAAGGTGTTCGTAGCTGCATGCTGGTCAAATCACGCTGCACTAAGGCCAATCCTATATCCTCTGTCCAGGCCACCAATGCGACCTGCGATAAGACCAATGTCAACTTTATAGAGAAATCCAATTAATGTGTACTGAGTACCTACCATCCCTAAGAGAGCAACGCTTCACTCTATTTACCCAAGTGATCAAAAAACTTTACGCCATCTGTCTCACTACAGATGAAAGTAATAATCATACACAGTCTGGCAGTTCTGTATAATGATGCAGTTGAAACAGTATACTAGCATATTTACAGATTGGTAACGACATACACGTACATCAAACCCCCATCACAACTAACCTCATCCACCCCACCCCACCATTTAAATACACTACATAGCACAAATGAGTCAAGTACATTTTTTAAAACAACTTGTTGAATTTAATGTTGACTTTATTTCAATGCAGATATTTTTGAAAAGTATTTTTGGAATAAAAACTGTTTGGTATGTTTTGTTTTTCATGAAATCATATCAAACATTTGGTGACCAGGATTGTACTCTAAAGCTAGTATTCACATGGAAATCATACCTCATCTGGACTTGATGCTTGGTAAGTGACCTTGGCTTCCTGATCCTTATCTGCTTCCACAGTCTCTGTCTCTTCCCCGTTCTCATTATCATTCTCATAGACTGGTGTAACATTGTGACACAACGCTAGTGCCTTGACGGCCGCATGTACCCGTGTAACTACTGTACGCCTTAAAGCACTACCGCTAGATTTCTTGGATGGCGTTACCGTCAGAGTACCCGTCCCATGGTGCTGTACATAATACGTCTGTATATGCGACATGACTTCATCCATAGATTCAGTACCGAATGACACGGTACCTATGTGTAACTTTTTGAATATCTGCAATGATTACACAGTTACAGTTACTACCTCAAGAACGAAAAAAAACAAACATTTTAGACACAGATATTCTCAGGCAAATTCAGCAAAGATTAATTATTCTATTGTAATTAGTGTTGATGCGACATGGTTGCATACATACCATTTCATTCTCAGTTAATGTACCAGTTTTATCGGATAGCAGATACTGGATTCGACCAAGTTCTTCAGGAATGGTGGTTGTCCTGACAACAGTACCAGGTATGGCTTTATCTCGTTGAACCATTAAAGAGTACACCATCTTACCCATGTCAAGATTCACTCGTAAGCTGAATCAAGTACAAATATAATTATTGTGCATGTTTGGGCAAAACACAGACATTATGTATTGATGAAGAGGTTCCCATCGAAGGCCTTAAAAAAGGTCTCTGCTTCCATGAAAACACACACTCTATATTTAATTAAGTACAATGTTTAAATAGTTGCAATATTATATGCAGGGATACTTTACACTTAAGATGGTTTGGTAATTACCTACTCACCCAAGAGAAATGATGGTTTGGTAATTATCTACTCACCTGAGAGGAATGATTGAAGAAAACAACAGGACAAATCTGAAGAAATACCTGTACCATGGACCATTGAAGCCCTAGTCAAATCAATGAGAGAACAGTCAGTGTTTATTTGCAGCAACAGTACTCACTTCTTGGCATGTCCACATCGCTGCATGTCCACTCACATCCTCACATGTTTACTCACATCCTCGCATGTTTACTTACATTGCTGCATGTCCACTCACATTGGTGCATGTTTATTCATATCCTCACATGTTTACTCACATCCTCACATGTTTACTCACATCCTCACATGTTTACTCACATCCTTGCATGATTACTCACATTGCTGCATGTCCACTCACATCGCTGCATGCTTACTCACATCCTCACATGCTTACTCACATCCTCACATGTTTACTCACATCCTCACATGTTTACTCACATCCTCACATGTTTACTCATATCCTCACATGTTTACTCATATCCTCACATGTTTACTCATATCCTCACATGTTTACTCATATCCTCACATGTTTACTCATATCCTCACATGTTTACTCATATCCTCACATGTTTACTCATACTCTCGCATGTTTATTCATATCCTCACATGTTTACTCACATCCTCGCATGATTACTTACATTGCTGCATGTCCACTCACATCACTGCATGCTTACTCACATCCTCACAAGTTTACTCACATCCTCACATGTTTACTCACATCCTCACATGTTTACTCACATTGCCACTAATTTTGTCACATTGTTACATACGCACTATGTTGTCACTTGTCGAATCAAATTTCCACTCACATTGTCCTATTTATCGATGCATGTCCACTCAAATGGATCACCTTATTTTCCACCTTAAATCAACCTATTTTTACATCCACTTATTTACAAACACAAGCCCATAATCTTACAATTGAAATGAAATGCACATATTAACCTTGAGAGCAATGAGAACAATTGACAAGATCATTGTCGCTAAAAACAAGACTTTAGTTTGACTGTTAATTTCCAAGTCAAGTAATCCCACTTTAGCTGCAGGTTGTGATGTGTTCATACTAGACCGAGTCTCTCTTCCAGTATAGACGACGATACCCACTGCGGTACCTAGAATGATATAACATGCAACTGTAACCAGTTTCTGCAATATGCAGTCACATATCAAGGTATAGCAACATTATCCTCTAACACAGAATTCATCTTCATGTACGTGCCCACACAGCAATGAAAACACAATCATGGTCCTATTAATTTGAAATACACATGTACACCAAACTTGATGATGAACTTCTAGGGGCGTACATTTTTAAATGTAGCTAGCAACCTTGATATTTAATCTTAATCAGAATCAGTAAAAATACCCACAACTTATGTGCTGTTAATATTTCTTACCTGATGCCACAACTGTATTGGCCCATAATGTATTCTCAATGCCTAAAGGATCTTCCTGTCGTCCGCCGTCAACTCTCGTAAAAGTGCCAACAAAGCTGTGGATATCTTTCTGAGGTTTCTCGGCATACACTTCAGCGGATATTTCATACAAATCCTACAAAACAGTTTTTCACAATTCTTAAATTCAAAATCAGTACAAAATATTTTTTCAAAATTTTTTTGTTTAAAAAACAAGAATATCAGTATACAATTTTCAAAATATTTCCATTGGAATCCATGTTAAAATATTATTTCATAAAAATATTAGTCATCTGAATTGATAACTTACATGGATGACAACAATATATTTTTATAACTTCATAAGACTTTTCATTACAGGTTACAAAACAAATTGTTAACACACCAGGAAACATAGTAAGCAACCATAAATGGCTTGTTTCAATATGATAATACAATATGTGAATCATTGACTTATTATGTTTAATTAACCTTTTTACCACCAGTTACCTCTTTTCATTACAAAATAGTTCTGTGGTTTGTCTGCACTTTCCTCCAGAAGATAGAG